ACGTTTAGTTTTTATACTTGATAAGTAATAAAATTTTTACATTTTTGCCTAAGAGTCGTCTTTTCTCGTTTTTACTTCTTGACCTAACGTTTATTATACGAAACATGTTGGACGTTCTGTACCAACAACAAAAGAGAAAAGAGTTCAAAGTACCAGAGTCTACTATAGATCTATATTATTGCGCAGTATTTTTGACTATATAAAATATAAATGCGTAAAATGAAGAAGACGAGTCTCTTAGGCAAAAAAGTAAAAATTTTATTATTCATTCAGTATAAAAACTAAACGTCTGAATTCTTGGGATTATTAGTAGATGACTATAGGCTGTAATGAGAAAAGAATTTGAGTTCTTAAATCGCCCTTTTGACTGAGTTATGAATAATTTAGTGTCAGAGATTGTCCTCCTCGCCCAAACAAAAAAATTCCATAACTTTTGAAGAAAGCAACATGGGCCCAAATCCTTTTAGGCTTTTTGTCAGTGCAACAAGCCCTACATATCCGCAAAGTAGAGTTGAAAACGGGATGGCTCACCTGAGATGGTTTCCTCGTAGGAGAAATTGCCTTTTTTTAAGCCACAATGTGTCGTTTTTAGGATATTTATCTTCATAATCCAAGTGTAAAGTGGGATGACATTATCGGATTAGATGCAGCGAAACGGACTATCAAAGAAGCTGTTGTTTATCCAATTAGAGTAAGCAGCCGGATAAAACTAGAAATGCAACAGAGTAATTGAATAAGTTTTCTTTCAGTATCCACAACTATTCACTGGGATATTATCACCATGGAAAGCCCTTTTACTTTATGGGCCTCCGGGTACGGTTGCTTGTCTATTTATTCAGAGAGAATGAATCTATTTTCTTTTTTTACCTTTTTTAGGTACCGGTAAAACATTATTAGCAAAGGCGGTCGCCACTGAATGTAATACAACATTTTTTAATATATCAGCTTCAACAATTGTCAGTAAATGGAGAGGTGATTCGGAAAAGTTAGTTAGAGTAAGTTTTATAAAAGAAATCACACGGTCAAACATTTAGCACAATTTCGTATGCTGCAGGTACTGTTCGAATTGGCACGGTTTCATGCACCGTCCACGATATTTTTGGATGAATTGGAATCGATCATGAGTCAACGTGGTGGTGGAAACCCCGGCGGTGAACATGAAGGAAGTCGTCGCATGAAAACAGAATTACTCGTCCAGCTAGATGGACTATCAAAATCCGATGATTTAGTTTTTCTTCTCGCTGCTTCTAACCTACCATGGTAATCGCTTTGGAGTTTGTTAACGTAAAAGTGGAGAACTTTCCATCTTGTTTTTAGGGAACTTGATCATGCTATGTTAAGACGTCTAGAAAAACGTGTTCTGGTCGATTTACCAATAACTGAAGCGAGACAAGCACTCTTTCAACAATTTCTACCTCCAACAGTGATACGTGAACCAAATGGACTTGTTTTATTCTCCGACTTAGATTATGCTCGTCTGGGCGATGTAAGAATTCTTAAAAACAGTTAGCTATACGTAGTAAAACTGATCATCTTTTCTAGTGTACAGAAGGCTATTCCGGTGCTGATATCAAACTTGTCTGTAAAGAAGCAGCTATGAATCCAGTACGTAAAGTATTCGATGTATTAGAAAATCTTCAAGATGGTATGTTCATCCTATTGCCAAACATAAAATAAATAGCTTTTCTTCAGACACTAATTTAGGTGCACGTATTCAACTTGATTCAATAAAAACGACCGATGTTGAAAAAGTTTTATCGACAACAAAACCATCAGCACGGGCATTCAAAGATAAATATACACAATGGCAAAAAGAATATGAAAGTGTATGAGAAAGCATGACAGAATCATTTAAGGCTACATCATAAATTCGAGGTTTTATTAACCTGTGTGCATTAGATAGCTTAGCGATTTGTCTAGAAAACTAGTTAGCCAGAAAGCGGATGACTGTCCCTTGTTTGCCACTCTCTTAAGTCAAATTGTTACTTGGATGGTTGGCTATATCAGTCGCTAAAAAGATTGACAAGTCTTTTTTCAAGACCTTGCTGCTGAATCAGCCATCCTAGTAACAATTTCAATCAAAAGAGTGGCAAACAAGAAACAGTCATCCGCATTCTGGCTAACTAGTTCCTGAACTATCATACACTGAATAAATTCACTGCGTATTCCAAAATAGATGTGAGTGAGTGGATACTATGACATCTCCTATGTATGCATCTATATTAGCTGTTCTTATATTTTTTTCTTTTCTGCTTTCGTTGGTAGTCTGAATACACCTTTAATTCCAACTACCCTTTATTATATACATAACCAATTCAACAGGATAAATAGTTAAAGCAGCTTCAAATCATAGCTCGAAAAGTGAGAGAAAATTCTCTAGAAAAAACCTTCAGCTCATTTTAAAGGAAACTTCCAATTTTCTTTGCATTGTTTAGATGTATTTTATATAGAGACCGTTTAAAAAAAATTTTCTTTGATATTTTTTTCATTAAATCCTTACACTGAACCTGCTAATCAGGCCAACTTACTGCTGACAGCTTAGACGATAACTCTTTTGGTACTTCAATCATTCCTTGGTCTACTCCTCAATATAATGCACTAAAGTCTCTCGTAACGAAATACCACTTGCTCTCTCTTTCGTCTCTGGAAGATTTTCATCAAGGACTTTACAGAAATATTTAAATAAACATATTTTTAAGCATTTTGCCTCTGTACCCATCTATGAATTTTCTCAGTCTCTCAATTCTTGTGGATAACAAAATCTGTCCATAGTGAAGCAGAAAATCATGGTCTTTCTATCATATTTTAACCGTATGAGTGAGGATTTAGATTATACTTAAGAAGATATTTAAAAGGCGGTTTGGGAAATTTTTTCTATAATTAATTATTCGGTCCTGTAGTATCCTTTCACCACACAGTCTATATTGTTGCAGTAAAACAATAAAAATTTGCATATTTTTATTCATCATTATTTATACCTGATTATTTTTCCACTCTGTCCGTTTGTGCTTTTTCAGAGTTTTTCTTGCTTGTGCCAATCTCTCATTCGCTTAGTAATTTGTATCTGACACAATTCTTTTACGTTTTTTAAACTATATCCAGTGAATTATTTTTTTGTATCTCTCTCTAACTCTTTCCAGCCGGATGTTGCTATATGATAACATTTTTTTCCGTCTTTTAAAAATTGCCGGTTGGAAAGGGCTAAAACAGTGATATATTCGTGTTATCATCTATTTAGTTTTGTTTAATTGATCTGAAAATGTGCAAACTTGTTTTCCTTATGCAATCTTATTCTTAAAAAATAATAATACTATGCACTCGAAAGCTTTTGGTCTATCTTATTTCGTAATCGATAGTAAACAGAAATCTGCTTGCACATGATGGAAAATATATATTGAACAATAGAAATTTTTGTGATAATAACTTCTTTTTTCTTATTTGATGTTTCTAGCAAGCTCTGTCACAAATAGAATTATCTGAACGTTGTACTCACGTCAATTCTCGCTTACTATTGATTTCTTTATTTTGTTGTCTAAATACATATGATTTTAGAAAGTGAATTTTTAAGTACTGTTTCACAATTCATCTACGTATGGTCTTGTCTTTTCCAAAAAACGAACATAAATTTCCATTTTTAGATATTCTGATGTGGTATGAGTTCTAGCTTTGCAACTAAACAAATTGTTTCATGTTTTCATTATTGTTCGTGGATCTATTGAAAAGACACAATATCAGTCAGATACAACACTTCTGAGAAGCTGTTTTTTTCTTATGCTGCTTAAAGAATAAGTAACTATAGTTATTGATAATGATAGCTATTTTGTGTAGTTGTTTTGAAAAACTACCTGAAAATAGACAAATAATCAGTTGATTTCGTTAAAAAAACCAAGATAAAACAGACTAGAAAGTTTTTCATCTGTGATTTAGTCAGAGAACGCTATAGATACCACACTACTATCTATCTAATGAAATAGTGGACTGAGCCATTTTTTGAATAACTTATAAACGAAAAGAGATTGAAAATTGCGCCATTCGATAGACAGAGACTTTGGAGCATCTTAACATAATGAATAGAAAATTATCGAAAAGCATAACTTCCAACTAGGTTTCCTATGGAATCTTTTGAAAAACCAGGTCATAGTTGAGCAACATCAAGTACGAATACTTTCGTTTTTCTCATGATTAAGTAGTCCAAAGTGTCCTCTCCAAATGGTTGTGAAGCGAGCTCTTGATCTCTCGTTGTTCAGGTGTGACATCGTTTTCCAAAATCTCCGTCTATCGAATGGCGCAACTTTCAACCAGATTCAGTAACTGGAAATACGAAAGTCATATTAGTGACTTTTATCGAGAATAATTGGTCAAATTATGTTCTCTTATGTTTATCAAATGGAAGCGCTTTATGTAGCAAATTGATCAATACAAAATAAAGTATAGTTTTATTAATCTATCGCTGAATGAAATTACCTTTTGTTATAAAACATACTTGTTCGGTTTATTTTCTAAAACGTTACAATTGAAAACAATTCTTCTATAAAAAAAGCACATAAGAAAATATATTAATTAAATCAACATTAAACTACAAAAAGCAAACCAGTTGTTAAACTTGAATATGCAAAACAAATTTATATAAAAAATAATATTCTCAGGTCGTATTAAGAATGGACAAAAATAGAAAAACAATGCAACAGTAAAATATCAATAAAATACTTACAAAAATAAAAAATACGCGTTAGTAAACCCGAATGTAAAAAAGGAATATTTTAACTAGGAATATTTGCGAGTAATATAGGACAAATTAAATGGCAAGAGAGATATTTTTGGACAATTATGTTGACATAACACGATTTCTGCTTTTTGGACAACAAAATGTATTATAAACACACGAGAGGATATTTAGCGAAGTTTTTCGCGCATGAAGCCATTGTTGACGATTCGGTATATCAACAGAACCTAGAGAAGAAACAAATAATATTAAGAGAAATAAAATAGCTTTCCTGTATCAGCTTCTAGATTGAATAAAGTACCGGATGTTTCAAAAGTCACTTCACTATTCAAAGAAAAAAAATATTTATAACTTCGTCATTTTTCTTGATCAAATGAGTTCATTCTTTTCTTGTTTCATAGAATGATGTTTAAAATTTTAGATTTAATTTAGAAAACAAAATGTCATATTGATCAGAGCTGAGAACAAAAATGTCTTTATTAATAGCATAATTTCAATCTGTGACGTTAATTTGTCGTTATTTACTAGTCCAAATTACGTCAGACGTTTCAAAAAACAAAACAATTAGATTAGTTTAGGGTAAATTTCTTCGAACTGATTCGATTGAGGACGCTGATCTTCCAGTAAGGCCATCAGCAGTCACTAGAGGCACAAAGTTCTTCAAGTTACTGTTCATCTGTACTCTCAATCACCTCACAGATTCAAATTATACGATAAGTAAAGATATTTTTGTTCTCAGCTCTGGCTAATATGGCATTTTGTTTTCTAAATTAAATCTAAAATTTTAAACATCTTTCTATCAAATAAGAAAAGAATGATCTCATTTGATCAAGAAAATCTTTTTGATGTACTTTTTGAGTATTTAAGTGGTGAATAAACATGGCCGATTAACACATGAACACTGATAAATAAGTTTTTCACTTCGACATATAGTCGTATTTTCAACAAGATTTCAATACTTTTCATAGAAAATGTGGTAACGTACTCGACTTATCACCAAATTTCAAAAATTCAACAATATGATCAAATTCTTGTATTGCTGGTGTTTCTAATAATGTTTGTCCAATACGTCGATCAGATACATTTGTCAGAATGAACTCTTTAACATATTCAAAATCTTTTTGTAACATTATAACACCATCACCACTAAAATAAATGAAACGAGAGTTACTCTTTCTAATATTAAAAATTGATTTACTTACAAAAAACGTATCTTTTTCGATAATAAATTATCTATCCAAGCACGAATAAATGATTCTAATAAACATTCATATATTGAAATTTTTAATTCTTCACTTAAATATTCAACATGTAACATAAACGGTTTTAATATCTTTTCACAGCCATCTGTTATATATGGACAATCGATACGTGCTGAAGATGCTATTAATACAAAATAAGAACATATATTTTATTTAACAATAAAATAGAAAATGTTTTCTTTAAGTTAACATACATGTATGATGAGCTATCCATACAATCGGTTCTGGAAGTTCAACACGAAAATATTCACTTGAAGTATGATAAATACGACGAAATAATTTTGAAAGAACAACTTCGGCTATTGTCTAATAAAAAAGAAAAGATAAATATGAAACATTTATTAGATATAAATTCTATTTCTCACCGCTGACCTCACATTTTGTCTTCATTTTTTTCAGATTATCAAATAGTATAGAAAATTTGTCAAGACATTGTAATTGTTTTAATAGCTCATGTATAACATGAAATAATGTGGTCAGTGTTTTAGAAATTTCCTAAATGAGATAAATATGTTTAACTTAAAGAGAAAAAATAAAAAAATACGTTACTTTTTGATCACTAGCACAGATCATTAATGCACGTTCGAGAATATTATTATTAACATAGGCATCTGCATTTTGATTCAAATATGTTATTAATAAATTAAATGACATTTGTAAACGAATCAATAAATTATGAAGTAATGATACAATATCATCTTGATCTAAATACTAAAAATAATAATTTTTAAAATAAATAAATGACGAGAAAAAATAGTATATAGTACTAGTAGTAGTATTACATACTTTATCTAAATTATCTGACGTTTCATTCAATTCTTTTATTATTATACATTGTTGCAATAAATTCAAAAATATCTGATTTAAATAATGACCAGTTTGACTAATAAAAATATCGTAGGTAAAACTTTTTGGTTGCCATCGTGTATGAATTATATCGGTTAAAGTTTTTGAAAAATCTAAATATATAAAAATATTTATTACATATTTGACGTTCTATTGTTGTTAATCACTACTAACATAAATGAAAATCACGTATAAATGCTTGAAATACTAAATGACTCAAACAATTTTGCACGATTAAAATGAGTTTTTTTCCATAATATATTTCATTATCCGATAAATTTTTGATATTAAAATATTTTCGAATATCTTTTAAATTTAGTAAAATATTATACAACAATTCACTAAATAAGGGATCAAGAGAATTATCATCATTAATTAGCCAAATAGAAATAAAAGTTGATAATAATTGTGTTTGTATTTGTTTCCAGTAATATACATGACACTTGTTAACGTCAATATGGATATTGTATTCATCTAAATTAAGAAATAAAAAATCATTGTAAAGTAATTCTCTATCATTCATTTTTCTAGTGTAAAGAAAAATTATAGCTCTTCATAAATTACTTTTTAAATTTATTAATAAAAAAGAAAAGAAAAGTATCATTTCTAATTTTGAAGTCTTGAAATTTTTCTAACATATGAAGAGAATAATCTTAATTCAATTAGCCATAAATATGAGATGAAAAAAACACAAGATTGGTTGTTCCTATTCTCATAGAGGACACTACATAAGCCAAGAGTAGAGAAAATATTTGACTAGAAATGAAACAGAAGCACTTCAGTTTTCAAAAATCATTGATTCGCTTCTTAATTTTAGTCTTAAAAGTTTCTTTTGTTACCTTGCAATAATACACATATATCTGTTAAAGTTTTGAAATGTTTACAAATAACATAATTGATAAGTTCTAATAAGTTTGAGAAAAATTCATCTATATTAAAATGAAATGATGATGATTTTATTGTTGATTCTGTTCGAAAATTAATTTTATTTAATTGTAATAGTGATGCATTTGTTGTTGTATTTGTTGAATCGATGAGACTCACGTTGGTTTTATAATCATTCCAAGTTAAATCTGTTAAACGTATTGTTATATTGCATGTAGTAATTGGTAATGAATATAAAGAACTTGGTGGTAATATTTCATTATCATTATTATCTTGAATATACGTTGATAAAACATATAATTGTTTAACAAAATATTCTCGTAATCTTTGTACAACATCACTAACTATAATTTGAATTAAACGATTGATATAATATGTTGTATCATTCATTAATGATTGATGATTTATTGGTAAAATTTTATGAATATTGTATTGTAATGTAAAAATAATAATAACAAGCGAATAGTCATTTCGTTGTTCTTGTAAAAACTTTTCATTAATAATAGATTTTAAATTAATTAGGATTTTACTAATTATACAAAAATAATTATCTAATTTTTCTAATAAAAATAAATAATCATTGAATGTATAGTCAACAAAATATTTAATTTCATATTTTAATAAATTTAACTGTTGAAAACAACTAAATGTTATTTCATATGTCTGTTTTAGATAATTAATTATTAACAACAGAGTAGACGTCGAAATTATTTGTGTTTTAGATTGATCAATCGAGTTATAAAATTCATCAAGAAAACATCCAACCGTATTAAAGTCAGATAATGACAATTGAGATAAAAAACTGTTTTTTATACATTCAGAATGTTCCTCTTCTTGTTCTATTGTTGGGTATAAATTTGAATACGTTGAATAGAATCTAGAACAACCTAAACGAAAAAGTAAGATAGTTTAATATTCTCTGCTTCATTTTTTTGGTTAAAAGGAAAAAACCACAAGCATGCCTAAGATGGCATCATCTACTTTTTCAGTTTCTTAAAGATAATTTCCAGTAGCTTACTTCGACAAGCGAGAACAAAATTTTCTAAATCAATTTCGACATTAGAAAAAAATCTATTTGAAATATTGTGTTTGTCATTTTCATTCTCATTTGGTTTAATTTCCAAATCGACAGACATGCTTTATGTGAACGGAGTAAAATCATTCATTTGGTTTGTGCCTAAAAAAGAGAATTCAATGAAGGTTAAACATAATCTGGCTAAAGGAAAGATCCTTCTACCAAATCTTTAGAGTATAAAGAAACATTATATGAATGTAGGATAGCACGACAAAGACTTCTCTAGTAGAAGAATTGAAAAAGTAAAAGGACTATTTAGGAAGTAGGCAAGTGCACAACTACCGACACCTTCCAGAGACATCCCGATATCTTGGAAGCAAGACAGGCTATATCAGAATCAAAATCTTATTCCTTTCAGGATTGGAATCAAACTTTTACTTCATTCAAGACCATGTGTACGACTTCAAGAATAGTAGCGCTCGGGCAGATGGGAATACGAGAGTTCAAGCAATATTCTGTTTAAAACTGTTACATTGTTGCAATTCATGACAATATCTCAAAGAAATCGAATCAGAAACCTTCTAAAGACATCAGCCTTAAAAGTCTTCTTGGTTAAAAAACAACCTCCTCGTAGAATTTCTTGGAAGCGAAAAAACCTGTTAAAGAAATAGAAGCGGAATTACAGTAGCGGGAAAAGGGATGTAATATACCTTGTTCGTATATAGGTCTTGTATTAAAGTTTGTGCTGTATTATAGTATAAATTAAATAAGTAAATCTATCGTAACAAGCAAATAGGAGAAAGGATAAAGTACATTTGTCCAGAAATTCATCAATCAGCAATTAGGCATGTGTCGACACAAACTGTGAGCTACACTATGACGGTGCTGCAAACTGTATTTGCGATTAATTCCGAGACAACGGGCTAACTTTGAAACTGTTGGGACGAGTATTATTTTCGTGAAGGCGAAAGCCATTGCATAGAACGCAAGAAAAAAATTATTTTTAGCCTGAAAAAGAAAATCTTTAGAATCCGTGGGGATGTCGTCCTCACATTTCATATGCTTCCGCCGCTACGGATTTCGATAGGTGCAATCTATCTAATTTATTATACCGGTCGTCACTGTGTAACGTTTTAAAAATTATTATTATTCACTAGTTTAAAGAAGAAAGTAGAGCTGAAAAGTTCTAGCAGTCATACCCAGGTGAGTGAATCGTACTATCCGATCGTGCAAGATCGTATACGAATCGTACGAAATCATATACGATTATGTACGATCTACATACGAATCGTGGTGCCGGATTTGTCGTCTGGCTCGTACTGTACGATTTCATACGAAGTTGTATGATCGTATATGATCTTGTACGATCATATTATACGATCCAGAGGACAAATCAGATACCACGATTCATATATGATTTTCATACGATTTGGTACGATTTTGTCTGATTCAGATACGATCTTAGTACGATTCTTCGACCTGGGTTACTTAATATTAAACATCTTTTATAAGAAATAAATCATATCAGCGACAGAAAAAAAAGGTTATGAGAGGAGGGAAAAAGTACTTTTTCGTATGCAGCACAGTCGATAACCCAAAGATTTTGTTTTTGGTGCGAGATATTGCCAAAAATTCAAGAAAAATTTCGAAATGATTATTTTTTTATCAAAGAAACTTTTTTTTGCTATTTTGTTCAAAACAATTTCCTAAACTTTTGACAGTCCCTCTCGCCAAAAATAGAAAATCTTCAGGTTAGCGAGTGTGCTGAAGACGAAAAAACCCTCTTTCCCTACTCTGCATGAACTTTATTTTTTTTCATGTTGATATGTCCATAACAGTGTTGGCTTCTATCGTATATCGGCATATTTTATCGCGATGTTGTGCATATCGCATCCTCATATTTTTGAATGAGGATCAATGAATCTCAAAACCGCCCCAGAAGTAGCTGGGAAGTCTTTTTCTACAAAAAAACCACAACTTTTAAATTATGGTTGGAATTTATCGGCAGAACCCTCCGCTGATCGCACTCTTCGTGTATTTTATTATTTATTAGATCAGGAATACGATACAACATCAAATGGATCAAAATAAGTGTTCGATAGTTTTGATCCTGACAATCACGACTATATGAGCGTCTTTCAAGCTGAAAATACGCTAACAATCGTGATTATTGGTAGAAAAATTATCGGATACTTATCATGGCCCAGGGCCGTAGCCAGAAATTTGGTAAGGGGTGGGCATCTACAAAAAAGTTTCATCGTTACTAGTCTGAACTTCCATGTTAAAGCTAGATCGAGCACTTTTTCTTGCGTTTTATCTCCACACGGCATTTATCCTCTATAAATTTAGTATGTATTATACATTGAAGTAAAATCTCAAGGGGTGGGCACGTGCCCTATTGCCTACCCCCTGGCTACGGCCCTGTCATGGCCAGGGCCGCAAATAACGGGGAGGTGTGCACTCCGAATAATTGAAAAAGTTGTTGTTATTTTATCCATTATTCCTCGCACAAAATTCTTTTTATCAATTTTACACTACCTCAAAGAGAAATTTTGTTTTACACTTACACTCCCTTATTTTCTGCTCCTATTTGCGGCCCTGATCATGGCTCGTGAAATGCAGGTCTGAGTTAGTTTTATCGATAAAAATAGAGCCCTCAATATGAATTTTCAAGTGTCAAAGAGAAACTATCCAATAGATGTCAACTTTCATCGCTATAATAATTCTTGTCAAATATCAATTTTTTTTATCTAGATGACGAAATACGTAGAAGATAAAAAACATGGTCAATATGCAGAAAAACGCATTTGTTTTGGATAAATAAAATAAACCGTTATATCATCACTGTCAGCAGAATTCAGTTCCATGTTTAGTTGACAGACTACAAAAATAGAGTAGATACTGGAATCGTTAAGAAATTAAATCAGCTCTTCTCCCTTCGGTTAATTCTCAAATTTTTACAGAAACTTTTACAGAAATTTTTACAGTACTACGAATTCTCACTTGTATTCAAGTATTTCAGAGAATAATTGTACTTGAGAAATATATAAATTGATTATTACAGTGGCTGTACGAAGAAGGTTTTTTCAAACTCGATTATTTTATTGAATAATGATAATTGAATAAGCGTATTCCAAGCAAAAACGACCCAATTTTTTGGGTTATTTATCTAGATTCAGCTTCACGTACATCCAGTGTTTTATCTAGGTTTCGTTTTTCGGGTGGGTGGTTGAAATTTTTGGAGGGGCTGTTGGCTAAAAAATTTTTTGCTAAAACGAAATCAACTGTTTATTTTCGGGTGGCCGAATCGAAATTTTGGGTGGGCGCCGCCCACCCACTAGATAAATCACTGCATACATCTAGATGCATGTGAAGCTGAATTTAGATAAATAACCCAAAAAATTGGGTCGTTTTTGCTTGGGTATATAAAAAGCTGTTAAAACACTTTAATCCTGATGTATGTTTATAAGTTCAATTTTTAAGACATCTTTTCCTATTACAATAACAGTGAATTCTGTATATAGTATCGATGTTGCAGTGTTTTACCATTAAATTATAATTTAATAGGCACTTCAATATGAAGGTAATGGTCATCTTTAAAGGTGGTCTTTAATTTGTCTACGTCACATGTAGGAAATAATGTGACTTGTCGATAACTATGTTCACTCGAATATCGACCAGTATTATCGGTTGTCGCTTTATTTCCAACTTCTACACGTAAATCTCGATCTTTCAATGTAATTTGAACTTGTTCTGGTTTAATGCCTGGTTTCATTTCTAAACGCATATAAAGAATCTTTTGACCATTTTCACCATCGATAATTTTAGGATTCCATGTTTTATTTTCCAGAAATTCTTCCAATGTAAACATACGTCGATTACTTGTATGAGACTAGAATTAAGAACACGTACTAGACAAGTAAACAGTAGTTGTCTGGTTAATCTAGAGTTTATCATATTGATTCGCTTTACTTTTTATCCCTCATAAGAGAGTGCTTTAAAGAAAATATTGCTGAAAATAGTAACATACCTGAGTGCCTTGTTTATTACTCGTCATATGAGTTTGTTGTTGTTGATTATTCGATTGATTTTCGTTTGTGTGAAGCTGTTGAACATCACTATGTTGTTGAAGTTGTTGATTGAGATGTAAATCTTGACCGGCTGATCTGTGCTCTTGATTCTCCGATGTCTGATGGACACTACTTCCCGTTGTATGCGGTTCGCCGCCATCATGTGTTTTGGTTGTCGACACTTTTCTCTTTGTAATTGTTATTGTTCCTCCACTTTGTAATAACTCGGGAGGAATCTCAATTGGTAAATTCGCAAGATCTATAACACAGAAAAAGCATTGTTATGGTAAAAAATTCTACATTGTTGTTATTTCAAAACTTAGTACTTGAGTTTAACGTTGAAGACTGGGTATTTAATGATGTTGATGCCAGTTGATGACCTGTATTACTCTGATGTGTTTGAGTATCACTGCTCTTTTCTGCCGAACTTAGATTTGCCTGTGAATGGTGAGTATCGCCACCCGATCTTGTTGTGGTCGTTGTTTTTGTTATTGATGTACGACGTACTTGGGAACCTAATGGAGGTAAGCTATTTGTATGTACTAATTGATTTTGATTTTGATTTTGATTTTGATGTTGTAAGAATTGCTCTTGTGCCTTATTCAAACTGAATGATAGACGCCGTTGATCATTTGCAGATGGAGCCAAATGGTCAACCTGTCGTTGTATTTGTGGATTTATTGGTATCTCAACAACAAGCATATTTGAACTTGTTATATAACTAGCCATAGCTTCGACATCAGCATTATACGGAATATCATAAGATTTTTCAAATTGTTTTTGCATATAACGATTTTCGCTCTTTTCCTCATAAATACCCGATATTGTTAGCTTTCGACTTTGGATATAAATCTAAAAGCAGATTAAACTTAGCTGTACATTGCAGAAATGCAATATTGCAAAGACAATTAGAAGCGGGAACTTCATAAAATTAATTCAGTAGAATGATTTTGAAAAGACAATACCATTTCACACTAAATTGTCTCTTTACCTTGATATTATCTGGGTTGAATCCTTCAACATCAAATGTAATACGAAATTTTTCTGGATCTTGAGAATACTTCTCCGATACCAACTGTTGATTTGGACGACTTAACCAACGGATGTTATGATCATTTTGACCTAATGAAAATGGATCAAACCAAAAATCATCGCCTGCTGTTTTTGATGGTGATAACAGAGCTAATTCGGATGATCTGTCGTTAGATGAACCATTTAAACGATGAATGGGTACTGCATAAGTTGACATAGTTTGTATTTGTCTTTACAACTAAATAATGTTTCTGCTATAAAATATAATATGACAATAAATGGTGTAAGATAACTGTATAATATATATATTAATACAAATAAGCATACATTTATTGTTTTTTAGAAAAGAAGCAGTGGTCGGTAACCAAAAATAGATACGCCCAAATAGGAAAAAAGAATAAGATCCCTGATATTTCAATGTACTAATTAAGGAACAAATATAATTTAATGGAATTTATAGAATCGGTTGACAGCTCTCTACAAAACATGATGATACACATGTCACGTAGTTGAATAAATATACAGAGAACACAATAGAGAGAATTTCTTTTGTTATTGTTTTACCACGTATATGACGGAGAAACCTTGAATGATGGATGGATTAAACATCATTTTAGAACAGATATTTATAGTATTAGATGACCTTGTAAATTTACTTAAAAATGAATGTATATCCACATATTTTTTCTATAGGTCGGAATTTTACTTTATCATTTCTAGAATTATTTGTTTATTATTCCATTCCGAATTGATACACAAAACTAACTGAAATAAGATGTTTTAGCAGAACTGTAACACAGTTCTTTGTTATAATATTTGTATTTGAGTCATCCATCCACGTCATAAATTACAACAGATGAGAAAACGTAACCACAGAAATGCGACCCACTGACAGTAGAATTGGCCGATTTTAGTTTACTAATTGAGAATAAATTGAATGAAATGTATCTTTATCAAGTTTTAATTAAATACGATGTGGTACACTGGGCAACCAGGTGAACATTAGGTAAAAAATGAACGTGCGCTTTTTTAAGATTCAGTAGTGTCAAATATACTTTGAAATACGAATTATCTAATGTCATAAAAAATTTTTGTTCGAAGTGTCATAGTTAATCGCAAAATGCATTGTGAAAATTTAGCCGAAAAACCTGGCTGCTAACAGATAACAAACCTTATGATGGAATCTGGAGATAATTTCTGAAAAGTTTCTACATAATCTTAAATTAAACATCTCGGTCTATCGATTCGTAAAAAAACATTGATTCGAACCTTTTGGTGTTAGGAAAAACAGTATTTCTTTCTACTATAAGTATTTGCCCAAAAGGTGTGCTCACTATGAGGACTTTAGCGAAGGTCCAGACGTTATGAAATTTTAACCGAATGCTATTCTACTCATAATACACCCACAGTGCTAGCCCGAACATATTTAGACTGAGATATGCAGTTTGCAAAAAACCGTTAGTTGTTCAAGTAAAATCGATTTTTCTCGGTTCAGAAGTACGTCGTCCGAAAATAATGAGATATTTAGACTCATCGCATAAAACTGCATCGAATAATGTGCATATGAAATATTTTTGAACAAAAAATGTTCCGATCCAGTGTAATGCGACGGTTTTAGCGTATGGACATAGCAATTTTGACCTAGCACGTGGCTTGGCACATGTGCTAGAAAAGTGATACGAAAGTCTCTAAACACTTTTTTATAGGTTTTCGTATACGTTCTTTTCAGAGGGATGATTTTCAAATTTCTAAAGTATGTTCGTACTGAATTTTTCAGATAGAATTTCCGGAAAACCTGTACAAACAAACTTTGAAAGTTTGAAAACCATACCATTGAAAAGAGCACATACGAAAAATTTCAAATAAAAATAACTGACATAGACTATCAATTGCATAAATTTAAAAGTAAAGTAGACGCGAGAGACGTGGTTTATGGTAAGCCGCTCACCGACGACAAGAAAGAATACCCACCTACCGTTATTGATATAAGATGTTGGGAGATTCAAGTTCATTGAAACATTGCTCAAATTTGTGACTTAGAATTATTCATTTTTGATCCAGCAACATATTCAAAGTTGATTTGAAAAGACTACAAGTTCTATTTATACGTTTTCTTAAAAGTTTTTAAATGAAAATTAGAGAGTATGAGTGATATTATAAACTCTCTCTCTCAAACATTTATATCATTTTTCGGTATAAATGAATGGTTTTATTTATTGTTCTATTCATTTTGAGAATCGCTCTCATTTTTTAAAAATGTTTATTCTTCTACTTCATAGACAAAAATATTACACGTAAAAAAAAACGTTCATGGATTGTGCGCAACATTTAAGCGATTCTATAAATAATATGTAAACCTGAGTCTGAATCAACAATGTCGCTCATTTCATTCACAGCCAACGCAAACGAAGCTTCTTCAAAACTTTGTTGCATTTGTTTTCGACCAAAATAATTTAAATCACCTTCTCTTGCTCCACTTGAACAATCACTCTTCTCTAATGCTATTCGACGAAATGTTTTTTCAATATCATCTGATTCTTGAATTTCTTCTATTATACCTATATACACAAAACATCCTATATAGAACGAAAATTTATCAAAATATAAGTGCTTACGTTCAAGTTGTTTACGTGCTTCTTCTTTCGATCGAGTGATTGTTTCTTTTTTATAATTTGTTGGATTTCTTGAGCCTTTATGTTTAATCAAAATGTGTAAAACTCGTACTTTGTCCGTTGTACCTTGCTGTTGTTTACTAGAATTTTTACCTATTGATGGCTTTTCCCATACACTTTCTTTCGTTAATTGATTGAAATAATACACTTTACCTAAAATAAAACACGTCCGTTCAAATTTATAATAAAAAATTTACAATCAGTAATCAAGTCTGGTATGCGCTCAATGACTATAAATTAAACTACTTTATAAAGACCAAGTGCGAAAATAACAAATACATATCGAAGAGTAATTGTTTACTTGTCCATACCGTAAAAAATTGATTATTTATCATTGTTGACGAAACCAAAGCAACAAATACCTACCGTCATTCCAGGTACTTTAACGCATAGATAGAGAAAAGAACAAGGAAAACTGACATATCAACGCGTTCTGGAGAATATCATATCTTGAAAGACTATTAAAAAAAGGTTTTAGAGAATTGAGATATCTACCAGGGGCCTGTTTCTTAAAAAAACTTAAGTAGAAAATCTGACTTAAGTCAAACTTAAGTCCAAAAAAGTCTTTGTCTTTTTTGACTTAAGTAAGATTTTCTACTTAAGTTTTTTTAAGAAACAGGCCCCAGGATTATAGGTTACCTGTCTCGAGCACCTCAAACTGGCAAGACATTACCCTTAATCCCCTACATGTTACAAAAAAAGACGTTTAGTGGAATTGTACACCAAGATCTTGTTCAAGACAGAAATTAAACGAAATTTCAATCTTCTCTGATGATATAGAATAATTTTGGTCAAACTGACAAATTTCATAACAGTCAAATACTCTACATGGAAACAAACTATCTCTAGTAAAGATAACCAGGCACTATATGCATCAAAGAAAATACTTGCCTCCATTTGATCGACTTATTTTCTTTTCCCAGTTTGGGGGTAGATCATCACTCATGATATAAATAATTTTAGTCTAGAAATAGATAATTCATATCAACTACAGCTATTGTCTTGAAGAATATCAACTGTGAGCTTCTTCAATCACTTTTTTTATAGACGAATAAAGCAAAAATTATAGTTTCAGTAAATGAACAATTAATCCAGCTATGATACGAACAAAACAATACTGTCGTTCTTTATTACTATGTATCTGATCTATCGTTAGAAAATAATATAAAAACTTGAACCATGATAAAATAGTGATAATAAAAAATAAATACAATTTCAATATAGAAGTACAATTGACTATCTTAAAAACGAAAATTTACGAAAAAAATCTCGAGATTCTTACAGAATAAATATATTTTCTCTCGGCAGTTACGTTTTATCAATATAATTGAAATAGTAGTTTTCTTGTCATTTTGTGTTTTTCTTGACGATGAAGATAGTAATCTTTGAAAGTTCGAATTTAATGAACAATTTTGTGGATTCTGTCACATCTCGAGATGCTCTTTGTAGCAATCATTTACAGATTTATTTGTCAATTCATTCCCTTACCAAATATAACAAAGATCGAAGTTTTTGCTTTTATTATCACTACAGATAAGCCGATAATATACCACATCGGCAGATAAATTTAAGAGTGGTACTTTCTTGAAAACTTTAACTGAGAAAAGTTTTTGAATAATCTTGTCGATAATCCATAGATTATATTAATTGCATTTGACTAAAACGAGAAGTAGGTGAATTTTTTAAACGTCTGTGAACGAATATCAGAGAACGTTTCCCCGCATATTGCGAATATGTATTCACTCGATTATCTGAATGCTAGTTAGAGGAATAAAATCCTATCTGATTATTTTTATTGTACAAATCCGACATGTATCTACAAGCAGGGCTCTTGTTGATAAAGATGCATAATGTGATATTCTCAATAGACATAAAATTGTCCGATGAATAGTGGCAATGATATAAAGAACAAATAGTTCAATAACATAGTGAAATCTATTGTTGAACAATAATAAAATAAGCAGAAATGTCACATGGAAGAAGAACACAAGATACCAGATACAAAAAATAAAATCGTCTTTGTACATTTAATGGAAAATAAAAATATTACAATGCAAAGAATAATAAAAATAACAAGAGAGATCAGCAGATCATCGTTCTTTTCTCGGAACAAAGTACTAAAACAAAGCGGTATACGTTAAGAAACAGTATAAAGACATAGAAGACTTAATCGTGAGACATTTTCAGTCGATAAACAGGTGGTTCTTGTAATAGTTCTCGAATTCAAATAAATAAATGAACAGAAGAAAAATAAACAGTCGTTAAAAAGTTTGAATGTGACGTTTCTAACGTCGTCACGAACTGACAATTTATAGGCCAATATAGCGAGCATCACCAACAGAAACGTCATGTCCATTTTTACCGACTGACTATACAGCACAGACAAAAATTTGACAGTTTAAAACAAATCATAGATGATCCCTTAAGTTACTCAGCCTAAACTCCGAAACAAAAGTTACAAAAATATGTTGGTCAACCACATTCGTAAAACAAACAATATAAGATTTTACAGAATTAAGAATGAATTGAAAATGAGGAATGAAAAATCTACTGACGAAACAGTGAAAAAAAATGCAAGAAAAATTACAAAGCCATTACAGTTTGTTAAGTTATTTTACAAATTAATAACATGTCTTTTTTCGGCCTACTATAAACAAATGAAATAAAATGTCAATATGGAAAATCTGCTAAATTTATTTTAGCGAGAAAAATCCCTGCACATTTTTTTACAGACATCTGAAGTATTATATGGGGCTCTATCTCTGGAGGGAAAAAATTCCTGCAACAGAAGATGCTCTTCTGCATGCGAGACAAATTGCAAAATGTTTCCTGGCTACAAAGGAGGAAAGGTCCCTGGAAGTGCAGACAGTTTTCTAATAAATTTGCAGAAAATGGCACTAGCGATCCGCATTGTTACACGATGGACCAATGGATAGCCAATGTACAGAGGCTAGTACAAAATATTTACCACCTTCTTCCGTTTTCTGTCATTTGTAGTCGATGTCTAGTCTAATAGTCTCTTGCCCGTGTTTTGTACACTCTGATTTTTCTCTTGATTCATTCGCTTTCTCAAAATAAAAACACAATTCTTCAATAGTAGTAGCAACGTTACAAGAAAAGTTCACGGTTGGTTTGAAAACAGTGACGCTAGCAATACTGAAAACTGATCCATTTTAGCTGAAGTTTAATTCACAAAATTACCTTCTAATCTTATTACTATTGTTTAGAAGACAGAGTCGCTAGAGGTCGGTTGAATAGATTAGAGAAATTTGACGTTGTCAGAACGTAGAAATGAATATAGAGACTGAATAATTGATTTTTATAACTTTTTTTACTTTGTCACATTGATTTGATTTTACTTACATTTCTTTAGCGTTGTTGATTCATCGCTCTAAAAGCGTTCACTTTACTTCTCTTCGAGCGTCCCGACAATGAACTGTGACTTGATAATCAGTAAACGTTTTTTAATTCGATAGACTCAGATCCATAAAATACCATCCACTAGTCAGTCGAGTATCGATTCTATGTGTCGGCTAGGCGATGGATGTGCTAGGACTAAAATGTTTGGCCTTTGCTTAGAGTACTTAGCTTATTTTCAGTTCTCATGGGCTTTATTTCTTTTGTTCTGTATCTTTTATTTAAGGAGGAAAGGAAGAACAACAAAAGAGATGACTAACATGATTTTTTGCATGCAGTCCCATCGACGCTGAGTCCTAGGGTGTCTTGACCTTCTATATCTACCTGATTGAAACCCCAGGACAACACTCTCATTGAATTCGATCAGTTATAAATTAATCATCATTTCAGTTCTTGTTGCTACAAATTGTTTGTTTTTTGAAAGTTTTTGATCTCAGCTGTTTTTCTCACAGAGGATGGATTATTTTGACAGTTAAATCCTCTATCGCGATAATCGCTCTTTGCCTAGCAAAATTAGACGTTTCTTCTCAAAAACATAGAGAAACGTTTGTTAAAGATTGTTAATTCTAATAGTGAGACTCACAATTACAGGTGGGATTCTTACATTTAAATTTATCTAATATTTATATTGTAGATGTTTTATTGAGGAAGTTAACATCGTAGATTGTAAAGGAATAGGCGGAGAAGTTAACAGCAAAAGTTTAAGTATCGATTCTTCTTTGTGCCATATATCATCATGGGTGTTCCTAAATTTTATCGATGGATTTCCGAACGCTATCCAAATATCACTCGTGTTATCAGTGATAATCAGGTAAGAAAATAAAACGTTTTATGAAGAAACTTATGAGCACTAAATATTAACGTTCTTCAATATAGATCCCAGAATTTGATAATTTTTATTTGGATATGAATGGTATTATTCATGCTTGTTCACACACTAATGATGAGAATAGTGACACAAATGTATCCGAAGAAGACATATTTCGAAATATATTTCATTATATTGATGTAATATTGTAAACAGGTCATTTATTAAACTAACTAGGATACTGATGTGTTTGTCTATTTTAGTTCCTATTTCGAATGATTAAACCAAGAAAAGTATTTTTCATGGCTGTTGACGGTGTTGCACCAAGAGCTAAAATGAATCAGCAACGAGCAAGACGTTTTCGGTATATACGCATGTTGTCAAATAAAATGCCTAAAAATACCATTTGTTGGATTTTTTAGCGCTGGTCGCGATCGTATGAAAAAATTGAATGCATTGGCTGAAAAATCGGGTACACCATTGAATGAAATGAATCGATTTGACACAAATGCAATTACCCCTGGTATGACTACTCCTCAACCCATGAAGGTGTTCTTAGGCGTTTTTTCTTTTCAGGCACTGAATTTATGTTCAATCTCAACGAACAACTGAAGTATTTTATCAATATTAAAATTACAACTGATCCATTATGGGAAGGTGTTCAAATTCATTTATCTGGACATTTAGTAAGTTTTAATCGTGAGAACTAAAACAGTCTTTTAACTTTGAATATCTATTTCCATTTAGACACCCGGTGAAGGTGAACATAAAATAATGGACTTTATTCGTTTTACACGCTCATTACCTAATTATAATGCGAACACAAGACATTGTTTATATGGTTTAGATGCTGATTTGGTTTGTTTATATTCACCTTTTACCTTCTATTTGATTCAAAAGTTCTTTGTATTGTATCGCTTTAGATTATGCTTGGTTTAGTTACTCATGAATTAAATTTCGCCTTATTGCGTGAAGAAGTCACATATGGTGTGAAGAAGACGACAAAAATGTATGTTTGAATATAGAATAGTTATTGATGCTGTTTTTGAAATATTTCCTTTTTATCTAGACCATTACCAGAAGAAATCAATTGGCATTTGTTACATTTAAATATATTACGCGAATATATTGATCTTGAATTTCGTCCAATTAAGGTAGGCAAATATTTTTATTTCACTATTTCTACAAATAAAAGAAAATTTTCTAATCTTTAGGATCAGTTAAAATTTCCGTATGATATTGATAAGATTGTTGATGATTGGATATTGATGGGATATCTAGTTGGAAATGATTTTGTACCACATTTGCCACATTTTCATATTAATGAAAATGCATTGCCGCTTCTGTGGGATACATATAAGAAAATTTTGCCAAAATTAGATGGTCAGTACAAATGTCTAAATAAGCGTCTTTTTTTAGACCACGTTGATCGTCATCCTGTTTTTCTTATTGACGGATGCAGTGTTATAGTGAAGAACAAGAGTAACTAGATCTCTCGTTTGAATGTTGATCTTGGAAGCAAACTCAGAATGACAGCATATCTCTGATATGATAAAAGATTCTTTTTCACTATTTGCCTGTCTTATTCTTATTAGGGTATATGAATGATAATGGACATATGATTTTATCACGTTTTGAAACGTATATAACTGAATTATCAAAATTTGATTTTGAACGTTTTGAATATCAGAACGATACAATAAAACATTTTGATACATTAAATTCAATAACATTTGGAAAATGTGTAAATGAAAACAAGATGAATAATAATAATAATAATAATGATATTCAAAATATGAATGAATTAAAAAAACTAATCACAAATAAAAAATCACATTCGAGATTGAAAGACAAATCAGAGACAAATCATGTTGGTGATGATCCGAATGGAGAATTGATCGATGAGTTTATCGAGAAAGAGCGTAAAGATGCGCAAACAACGGAGACGAGTGAAGATATAAACATTAAAAATAATGATATGAGTATTCGATCTTCGTTGACCGATGATGAAAATCCTGTCTACCCGGATCCAGGTGATGAACATTCATCAGCTTATGAAACACTCAGCTCATCTGATGATAGTGAACAAGAAGAAGGTATGATTGAACCATCAACAATATCAGAAGATGATAATAATGAACCACTGATAGAAAGTGAATTTCGTCAACATAAAAGACATTATTATCGTGAAAAAATGAATATTGAACAGATGACATCGAATATAATGCGTACAAATGTTGAACATTATATATTTGCCTTACAATGGATATTGAAATATTATTATAATGGTTGTCAATCATGGTCATGGTTTTATCCACAACATTATGCACCCTATCTGTCCGATTTAAAAAATTTCAAAGATTTAGATATTCAGTTTGACAGTGGAAAACCATTTAGGCCATTTGAACAGTTATTAGGTAATATTTTAGAGAGTTAACATTCTTTGACCTATATATGAAGAAATCGAAGAATACTGTTGACCATTGCAACGAAAAAAGACATTTCGAGTTATATGTCATTATATCGATAATGTTGTAAACATTACATCGACCGTTTTATAACATGACATTAAGTTTTCGACCACACCCTTATATAAATTGTTTAATGTAAGTCGTTCTCCCTTATTTCATCTTAGATCGGACATGTTACGACTAAAAGAAAATTGTTTATGTTAAAAAGAAATATTTGTCTTACCTTGTGCCTAACTTTAAAACTTTAGATTATTTTTTAGAAAATTGTTAATATGTTTTTTGTCATTTTTATTTAGCTGTGTTGCCACCTACAAGTCGTGATTTATTACCAAAATCATTACAATCGTTAATGACTGATATTGAAAGTCCATTGCTTCAATTTTATCCCGAAGATTTTCGTCTTGATCAAAATGAGAAGAAACAAGATTGGGAATCCATTGTTTTATTACCATTTATTGATGAAAAACTTTTATTGAATACAATATCAAAATATTATACACGATTGACTGATGATGAAAACTTGCGGAATGATAATTCTCCCTCCTATTGTTATACATCAACAAATCATTTAAAACCTATCACAAATATCTTGAAAAATCCGTACTTTCCACCACTAACAGAAACGAAAGCATCCTGTAAAGAATACGCACACGATTATTATCGTCCTACTGATTTTAAATATAAAACTGGACGATTTACGGACCAACCATTGTTACTATTTCCAAAGTTTCCCTGTTTAAATGTACTGGACTACGAGTATTCATTTAAAAAGTCCGCTGTTGATATATTTGAATCAAAATCAAAATCAGTCACATTAGTATTAAGATTGAAATATCGACCAGCTCAAGATTTAATAACGTACAACGAAAATTATAAATCTGTTGATGAAGGTGGTGAATCATCAGACGCCCCATTTATAATTAATGATCGACAAAAACTAATTCAACGTTATATGGGTAAATGTCTATTTATGAATTGGCCACATTTTGAATATGGAGTTGTTTGTGCTATTAGTGACTTTAAGCAATTATATATTTGGAAAACTATTCCCGGTGGAGCGGTTTTTTCATTACAATCGCCTTACACAGAAGATATAAAACATTATACACAAACCCCGGTGTATGTAACACGTTTACCATTTGAATATGATGAAGAAAAGTATTTTCATGAAAAAATATCCTATACAACTCACACATTACGTGGAGAAGATGAAAAAAATGAATATTCAAAAGCTACGAATATTAATCGACGTTATGAAGTACGTCAAGGTGTTAATATTGGACATATTCCATTGATATTGTATATAAGTCCATTAATTGGTTATAGAACACAATGTCAATCATCGACAAGTGATAGATGTTCAACATATAAATGTTTTTCAAATCAAGCCTATCCTTATCCACTTCAAACATGTTTATTTCAATTACCAAATTATAAGTCAGAAAAAGATCTATTTCATTTTCCACAAACTATTAATGATAATTTTAAACTCAATGATCTAATATTTAGTTTACATTCACCGAGTTATGCGTGTTATGGTAAGTTCAGTTCAGTGGTACACATTCTTTTGCGAAATCAAAAAAAGGAACGAAAAAATAAGAGTAATTGCTTCAAGATTTCATAATTCTATTGCGATTATCTAATCATGTAAACTTGGCAGAGGCTTAGAAGGATCCATTTTATTTCTTCATTGTCTATTTCTCTAAATTGGATGTAAAACTTGTAAAAAACAAAAACTCTTAAACATCTTAGTTCCTTTAATCTTCTAATACAATAACCTTCCTACAGGACTGGATTTCTACTTTTGTCATCAAAGCTCTATTCATAATTTACGTTTTAGGTCATGTGCAAAATAATGTCGTTGATAACTGTAAACATTTTATTGAATGTAAAATGAATACTGATGCTCCGATACATCCAGATATACATGCTTTATCACCAAAATTAAAGAAATATGAGACTATTTATTACTCAGCACAAGAAGTAGCCGCATATTTACAAACACACCCGTGAGTTGAAATAGTTTAACACAATTCATAAACAGTTGTCTGTAATTTGATGTTTCGTTTTGATAGATGTGTAATTTCAAAAATAACCGGTACAGTTATTATTACCAGTGGCAAACGTGACGCTGTCGCGAAAATTAACGTTGGTTTATCATGGAAAATGAATAATCCAGTGAAACAAGTATGTTTAACACGAAAATATGAATATCCCTTTAATCTGAATATGCAACACTACCGATTTTTATGTTTTTTACTTAGTTACACGGTTATACAAAAAAAATCGAAGGTATTTGGTGTTATTCGGATGAAGCTGTGTTAATTATTATCGATTATATGACAAAGTACAGGAAGAAATAGGAGAAAAACTAGCTTGTAAAATGTTTTGTTTTATTGTAGATTTCCTGAACTTGTTACACATATAATAAAATATCCAAAATTAGATTGTTATCCCGAACTCTCGATATGGCCACCTAAAAAAGGGTATAACATTTTTTGAGAGTTCCTTTTTCGATTAGAATATTTTTAAAATAATATTTATTTTCAGAAAAACACATGCATTGGAAATTAGAACATGGATAAAATCTTTACCTACATATTCAATGCAGCTAACTAGTGCATCATGGATTATATTAGACACACCAGTTATTAAACAAATTGATTCTGTAGTCAAATCATATTATGTAAGTTAGTTTTTATTTCTGCCTTTGTGTATTGAACAACATTTTGTTTTGTTTTTTTTTATTTTAGAAACGATCAAATAATCGTAAAACTTCATCAACAGGTTGCTTACGTATTGAAGCTAGTCGTCTATTTAAACCATGTGAATATCTTGGCTTATGCAATGCTGATCCACAAACAGAATTTTGCCTATATGATCGTGTTGTTACCGTAAGATTAGGCGCTGGTGTACCGATTGGATCACGTGGAACTGTTATTGGTGTCATGCCAGGTCGTACAAATTTAGATACTTATTTTGAAATATTATTTGATGAGTTACCTAAAGGTAGCTTGTATTCGATTTTATTTAATGGTGGTCAACAACAACAATGTCGGGTTAAAGTACGTTCGTACCATTTACTCAATTATACACATAGTCTAAGATTTAAACCACATGACATGATGCAACGTTCAACATTGTTAGTTGAAAATCCGTGGGAACGACGTTCATTAGAACCGTTGATGCATCGTCCATCATCACAACAACACGCTGATACTTCTATGAATAGTCATCCACAAAGTATTCGAATATTAAAACGCGGTACGGGTGATAATAATGGAAGCGTTACTACTAATAATCCAAATGTCGTTCGTAATAAATCAAGTTTTGTTGAAATTGATTATCAGCAGTCTACAGCACAGAATCAAACAAATACAAGAACTCGTGTACAACAACAGCCAAAAAGTGTAACTCCGTCCAATATAGGAAATAAATCGACTTTTTCAGATGTACATGGCAAGGAACAACCAAAAGATGAAAAAATTTATTATTCTCCAACATTGCGGAGTGCAATTGAAAAATCAAAACGTCCACAAGACTCACAATTACAAAATTACAATTCTGGTGAGTGCTTCAGCATGGAAAGACAACTCTAAGATGTTTGATGGTTTCGAACTTTGAGATTAATTGTATAGATATTCAAAACAAAGATATTTCACTCCTTCTTCTTACTACTATTTAACATTGACGAATACCTCTGAATTGGCGAGGCGAGTTAGATGAAAACGTTTGACATTTTCTACAAGTACCTGTAAATGTTTCAGAGTTTTCGTTTGTGTTTAAGCAAATATAATAATAGTTACACTTAGATGATGTCTCTTATTATTTTTTGTTTCCAAACTTTTTTCCAACAAAATTCTTTTAAATTATAGATAATCGAACTGGTGTATCAAGTTACAATCAATCTCAAAAAAGTGAAATACCGCAACAGCGGGAGCAAGTTGCATCAGCTAGTATAACAGAACGTTTACTAAAACTATTTGAAGAAGCCAATATAACACCACGAGATTCTTCGGTTAAACAGACGCCATCTGAGGAAAAAACAATGAATGTTCAACAATCCCATCAACAAGAAATGCAAGGTAAGAACCAAATTTACGAACTTTATCGTGTTATCTTTACTTTCTTCCGTTTTAGAAACAAACGTAGTCTCTAATGATTTAAATAAAATTTTTATGAAATCACAATTACCAGAATCGCCTGTTTCTTCAGTAACTTCAGACTTTTTTTTCTCATATTTGAGTTAATTATTAAAAACTGTGTTTTTTGTTTAGATGTCTTCTGTGAATCATATTGATATTAGGTATACTATTGTTTTTCTATAAATGTGGTTGAATTATTGAGATTAACCTTGACTTCCTTTTAGTCAACTGCCACTACCATCACAACAAATAAATGAAAGACCCGCGCCTGATGTGTTAACGCGTGGAATGAATCCAAATGCACAAGAATTTGTAAGTGCTAATGATTTCTACTCTAGACTAAGTTTGTAATTATTATATCGATCAAAATCGGCTGCAATCTCATGTATACAACGACTGTTGAGCGTATCATATGTTGTACATGCGTATGTGTGTGTGTATATTATTTATCTTTTTAAAATTATATTAGAAGTGCAATCAACTGAATTAGAAAAAAAAAGAACAAATTTTTTGCGCTCAATAGTCGATGTGCGTGTTTGATTGATAATTATTTCTTAACTCATGCTTTCGTTTAAAAATAAAAATGAACTGCTTTGTAAATTATTTCAGCATCCATTATCAGTGAATTATCCATTATCTCAACTTATCGTCAGTGAAAATAATCAAACAAATCATGTCCTCCTCCTCCTCCCTAATCAGTTGACTACTTTTTCTAATGAAAACTGTTTTCCACAAAACAATAGTCGTTGTTATGATCCATATGGTCATCCACCAAACTAAGTTTCGAGGTCGTGAACTACCTCTTGTTTTTCTTATTCTCATTTGTTCTTTATTATGTCGGTTGATTGCGCTTGTAATTATTGTTAGCTATTTTGTTTTTCTTTTTTCTATTCATTCGTTATCGAACATCCATACATTGACAGACAATTTAACAGAAAACTTCGTTCCTTCTTAAACGTAAAAGTTTGTGAATTACAAGGCTAGAATTTTATAGATAATAGGCGTACTCCTTTCTGAGAAAATATCTGTGTAACAAAATAAAAATACTGTTGTTATATACACACACATACACACACACACACATACATCTACACACTGTAAAAACAAATTTCTATATTTCATCAACACATAATTTCACTTAAAAACTTTTTCTGTGTTAGATAAATGAACTTTTCAAATTTTTCTGCTGATCATATCCATTGTAAAAAAATAAATCTAACGTGGAAAAACTTCTAAAAATCTACTACTGAACGGCAGTATCGTAATCTTTTATTGCAATATTGTTTACATCTCTGATATATTGATTTTCTTTTCTAATCAATATTTATACAATGTTTACTTGTTACGAAAAAATATGTCTTATACAACATTTTCTCATCATCTAGAGAATCATTGTTCATGACATATTCTTTGACCATATACTATCATCACTCAATTTTCTATTTTTCAACAAATTGTTTTTGTTAACTTTTTTCCTCTTGTTATTTTTTTTAAACACTCATTATATTTTCCGTTATCAATTTATTGATCTCGTTTTGTTAACGTCATTTTGTTTTCTTGTCTTTTATTAGCTCATCGATAGTCTTTTTATAAATGTCAAATAAAAGATGTCATGTAAATAATTTTATTGTTAAGAATTACACACTCATTTATTTTTGAATAGTTTATTTGTCAATTTATTTTCAATAATTATTTATTTTTATTTTTAGGTAGATGAATATCGTCCATGTGCATCCTTAGCCTGTTTATCAAATGATTTGTGTCCAATAGAAAATACGGAGGATATAGTTGAAAAACCACTATCATCAACATTATTAACAGCTATTAGTGTATTTCCATCACAATTATCAGATACACAATCACCAATTAAATTAAATGTTGAACAACAACTAACATCAAAAACAAAAGCATCGCCATCAAACAGAAAAGAAATAACGGCGAGCAAAACGTAAATACTTCTCGTTTATTTTTGACGGTAAAAAATATAATGTACATTAAATATTTTTTTGTTTTTGTTTACAGGTCAGCATTTACACCTGTTCGCTCTGGTCCATCTACGACTACCACCTTAACTACAATGCAGCCAAATATACACGATTCAATGCATACTTCATCACAACAACCATCTGTTTTTAGTTATGCTATTGAACAAATGTGTAACTCTGAAAAAAATGATGAACATATGTTACCAAAGCAGACGAATGATGTTGGTGCTCAGTCGCATATTTCACCACATCAACTTTATTCAGAGCAACATCGTCAAAATACTTATCCGCAAAATAGTGTACATTCAGGTATGACTATTGAAGAAATAACACTATTTCGTATTTGAATACGAAACTTATTTTCAAATAAAAATTAATAGCAACTATTTGTATGCTGTTGTTTTTTTGTCACTTTGTTACCTTTTTTCACTACAATATTTTGATATGAATATTTGATTAACAAAAACTTTATTAAGCTAATCTAATTTATATTCGTCGTCTTATTTTTGTCAAATATGAGAAACTAAAACCAATCTAAAAATGTCTAAGTAGTAGAACAAATTCGATATATTTAATTTTTTAATTTTAGGTCTATTACCTACTTATCCTATGTCTGTTACATCATTAAATAATAATCAATTTTTACAATATCATCTGAACAGTAGCATAGGTAATACCAATAGCTATCCTTTTCAACTGCCGACTAATGGTGTCAATTATCAACATACTGAATCGAATGGCTCCATAAATCGATTAAATAGACCTTTAATTGAACAGCAACAAAATCAGTCTTTTCCATTAAATAATGATTATAATAATCCATTTTCAAATCCAACAACGCAAATTCAAATGCCATCATCGTTGTTATCAAAGGCTATTCGTCAATCAGCACAATTAGAGCAAATAACCAGTCAACAACAACAACAACAGCAACAACGTAGTAGTTATTCAAACAACAATAATATTCCCTACTCACAACAACAGCAACAACATAGTAGTTATTCAAACAATACTGTTCCCTACTCACAACAACCTCCACAAATGACGATGATATCTCCTTTTCAGAATAATGTTGAACGAATTATACCTTTGCCATCATATCATCAGCAACCGTCACTTGCCGGTCCAACACCCATTGCTCCTTCTACATCAGTAGTAAAACCCAGCGGATCAACTTTACAATTTGTACCATCACAAGTGTTAAGAAATATTCCAAAAAAAAATCAATGACCCATACATAATAAGAATACTTTTTGTAGGTTTTGTTTTTCTGTCGAACAATCTATGTGTTCTTTTTACTATTAAACATTTTTCTACTCTTCTGATTCTTGGTAAATTTAGTCTTGTACATATGTATCTAACCACTTTTATCGAGAAGTTGAGCTCATGTTTTCTTTTTTGTACTTTGTTATCGCTATAATAATCGTTTGTTTTTAAAAAACAGTGACAGATGAGGGATGAACAAAGAAACAAATATATGGAATGTCGACCAGTTTTTCTTTTCTTGTACTAAAAAACAACGCTGTTTTGCTTTTTGTTTTTCTTCAAAATTTTGTTTATAAGAGGAGATTTCGTTTTTATTTCAATACATGTCTCTTTCTTTGTTTTCTTGTCTTTTACGGACATAGAAAATTCGTTCGTTACGATTTCTTGATTGTTTTCTTGTTTATATTTTGTCTTTTCGTGTTTTGTCAACGCTACTTTTTTGGTTTTTGCTTTTCTCTATGTACGTATATGTTATATATATACATTCAGGTAGGCATCGCTTTTTTTTTGAAAAATACATAAAAAATTTATTAAAAAACTTGTCGTTGTACTGTGATAATCATAAAACCAAAGGAGAATGGAGATATTTCATTATTATTTATATTTAAAGTTAAATTCTGCATTTTTTTAATGAATTAAGTTTAGTGAAGAATTTTTGATATTTAACAGACTTGTTTTAGCGAAAGACGCTTGATAACTATAGTGTAGATGTATAAAGTCTTACTCAGTTAGAAATTTACAAACATACGATAGCATTCATCCATAGGCGTAATTGAATGATAATTTAATGCAGTTACTTCTAAAAGCCCATAATTTTGATGATAATTTTATTTTAAAAAAAAACTATGTTTACATTTCTTTGTAATCAGTTTTCTAGATGGTGTTTAGTTCATTCTTTCTAAAGGCCACAGCTTATTGCTCATGAACTTTTTTTCGTATTTATGATTTGGTGTTAGCGAAGAGTACTAGGAAAAAATACATCTTTTTTAACTAAGTTATGAGCAGTCTTCTGTACTGAGTTATTATTTGTTGATGCATCGTCAATTGCTGTTGCTTTTGGTTCGATCGATGAGAGTGACATATGTTTATTACTGAAGTAGTTAGAAAGAAGCGATATCCTGTGCTTTTCATTTTTTGTTCTATCTTCAGATTTTATCCGTGATGAGATTATTTTTCACGTAGCTATGGTAAAAGTGTTTCGACTGCTCTTCTGGGGCAAATCATGCGTTGGAAAAACCAGCATTATTGAACAATTGGCTTATGGTGGAGTTGATGAAAAAGTATAATTTATTATTTTTCATTAAAACTATTAATTTTAACAATTTTTTTCTTTAGCCATATTGTGAAACAATTGAAGATATTTATTGTATTCAATATGATAATAGTATGATTGAAAAAGACATTATATTGAGAATTCATGATATTGGTGGTGTAAAAACTAGTGTTGAACAAGAAACGGGCAATATTCGACATCTTATCACGATCGTGGATGTTTGTATTATTTGTTAAAGTTTTCTCTGAAATATTGAACAAACAATACACATTCTTCTCTTATTTTAAGGCTGTTGTTCTTGTATTCGATAACCGTACAAATGAGTCATACGAATGTTGTAAAGCAATTAAAGAGTGGATTGACATAAAAACTGATAAAAACAAGAAAGAAGTAAGTTGATATTTGATCTTAAAGTACGACTTCTTTCTACAATTCTATATTTGATCGTCGTCTTCTTCGAGTAACGATGACTTTAATATATAATCCATTTTTAGATTTTACCTATTCTGTTACTGTGCAATGAAATGGTGCCTGATGATAAACGCCGTTTGATTAATGAAGCTGATGCATGGGCATCGAAAGACAAATGTTTTGGTATGTTTGTATTAGAGAACTAGCAAATAAGGATATATCACTTATCGCATATGCATATCTTTCTGTTCTCTTTCGTTTCGATCGATCGACGCGTTGAGACGAAAGAATCTCCGCACATGGGATATCTTATGTAGAAAGAGATATCCTCTTATTTGCTCGTGAAGTTCTCTATTGTATTATCATTTATTTTTCTTCTAATTTTTGTTTTTCTTTTTCCAGTAGGAAATCATGTTTGGACTGTGAATATTAGAGATCGTGCTCGTACGGTTGATGCATTTATGACGTTAATGAAGGAATTATATAGACCACAAAGTAAGATTTCTTGATTCTACTTTAGTTCGATAAACATCGACGAAGATCATGTTTGAGTCAGAGAGTGCGTGAAAAAAAGGCTCCCATTTTTTCAGCAGCAGGCAACGAACGCCAATCACGTTCATCAATATTACCAGATAGTGTAAGTTTGGCTGCTTTTAAAATAAAAACAATAATAAAAAAAATAGCAAGCGGTTACGGTATTCCTCGCGGATTGAACAATGCTTCTCTTTTCTTGATTGCTTTGTATAATTCTATTGCGACAGGATGCAATCATATTTTGTTTAGCTCTACAAATATTTTCGTCGATTTTTTCCTCATCACCATCATTATTGATCGGATTGTAACAAAAAAGCTTTGTTGATGACAGAATGTTAATCACTTATAATCGTAATGATCTTTAAGCATCGGTTCAACTCTCTGAAACATCGTTTATCTTTAACTTTTCAGGTTTAAATTCTTAAGCAGTGCTCAGAATTGTTTTGAAAATAAAATAGTCGATATCTTTTATTGTCCTCAGTGACAAAAGATCGTATTAGAAACGTTTCTTACTGAGATTATTCAAATATATTGCAATGATTTTGTCATTATCTGCTGTTGTTTGGCTTGTAAAATTCCAAGCTTTTGACTGATTATTACATTATGCCGCTCTGCATTTATCTTTAGTTATCTGACTTTAGTAAAACAAATAATTTTGATTGTCTAACATTTTCTTTCTTTTGTATTATAGGTAAGTCGACTTTTACACTCAGCAGCAGTAAAAAAAAACAAGCTGAAAGGTGATCAGAATTAGCTAAATAGAATATATTCATCATTTTTTTTGTATTCTTGTGTATTTACAAGTTTTTCGACTTTGTTTCTCTTTTTTTTACCTCAAAATATGATCAAAAAAAGCACGGTACATGTGTGTTTTGTTTAGTTGTTAATAAATTCTTTTTTTTATTATAATAAATTAATATATTTTGTCATATACTTCAACTTTTAAAGTCATGCTGTTTTTTCTATGTTTATATACGTCTTACATAAATTACACGGTTCAAAATTTGTTCTAGATAAAAATACTTAATATTCCAGAAAAAAATGACCGACACACAGTTGGATTGTGCCTTAGATTTAATGAGACGTTTACCGCCTCAACAAGTAGAAAAAAATTTAACAGATCTTATTGATTTGGTACCAGATTTAACTGAAGAATTATTAGCAGCTGTTGATCAACCGTTAAAAGTTGTACGTGATCGAACCGTCGGCAAAGATTATTTGTTATGTGATTATAATCGTGATGGTGACTCATATCGATCACCATGGACAAATACATATATTCCAGCATTCGATGGTAAAGATGAGATGAGATGAGATAAGAGAAAGGGAAAAAATTCAAATTTATTCATATTTCAATATATTTTTAGGTAACTTACCATCAGATCGTCTTCGTCAATTAGAAATTGAAGCTAATCAAGCGTTTGAACAATATCGTGAAATGTATTTTGAAGGCGGTGTATCATCAGTCTATTTTTGGGATTTAGAGAATGGTTTTGCCGGTGTTATTCTTGTGAAAAAAGTTGGTGATGGTTCAAAAAAAATTAAAGGTTGTTGGGATTCGATACATGTTGTAGAAGTACAAGAAAAACAAAGTGGACGTATGGCACATTATAAATTAACTTCAACAGTTATGTTATGGTTACAAACACATAAGACAACAAGTGGTATGATGAATTTAGGTGGTAGTTTAACGAGACAATTAGAATCAGATAGTCAAATACAAGAATTTTCACAACATATTATTAATATTGGACGTATGGTAGAAGAAATGGAAAATAAAATTCGACAAACATTAAATTCAATTTATTTTGGCAAAACGAAAGATATATTAAATTCATTAAGAAATAGTGAAAATTTTCAAGGCCGTTTTCGTTTACCACAAGCAAGTTTTAAAGAAGATTTACAATTAGCATTAAATAAAAAACAACCGTTAGAATAGAACATTTATCATATATACAATAAACAGTCAAATTGAAACGAAATATGGGAGAGGAAAGGGTGGCGGAGGAAGAGGGAAGAGAGAGAATATTCGAACGTTGAGAGAATGCTTGTGTTGAACAACGGTGGAATTTTTTTTTTTTCGTTTATTTATTTATTTATTTTACATGCTAAAAATACGCTTGACTAGTTCTGCATGAAAGTTCAAAATCATAAAGCAATAGATTTGCGTTGCTTTAATCATAGTACTTAAACTAGCAACGTATGTCCAAGTTCTGTATTGCGTCAATACTCGAGATCCTTATCGTAATTTTTATTTATAAGTGATTTTAGTAGTTTTATTCTCTCTCTCTCTTTCTTTCTCTCTCTCTCGGATATAAATAACCCTTGAAACAAAATATATTTTTATGCAGAATTACGACTTTTTTTTCTTTGATTGGTGCTTGTTTTTTTTGCTTGATTTCTGTAGCATGGTCCATTTGACACTATACGAAATCAAACTTTTAAAATCACTGTGTCTGTTTGTTGTTCTCTTTTACTGTAATTTTAAAATGGTATACACATTCCTGTTTATAAACTAATACTTTTTTTTTTTGGTTGAATCTGCTGTGTATGTTCAATGTACTATGAATGGCTCAATATCGAATTAGTTAATTGCATACTTGTTTCCATTTTTGTACTCCTTATGGTTGTATATCGAAGAGAATTTTTATTAAAATTCACTTGAAGCTCTTTGTTTACATGTAGAATGAATTTTTTTTGTTATTATCTCATAAAGTATCTTAATTCAAGTTCTTATGAAATGTAGAAAGAAAAATAAGTCGATTTGATACAAAAAATATTTGTTAATTAAGAAGAATATTCATCAATTTTATCGTGTGAGGTTGTTAAAGTATTTAGATTCATTTTTCTCAATAAATAGAAAAATTTTTCTTCAACTCGAGTTCACTATATCGAACTATGTACTTTCAATTACTAGTGTAAAATTAGATTACAATAAACTTACAATGAACTAAACCATTAACTAAAAATATGAACAGAGAAAAAGTGAGAAACAAATGTAACCTTAAGAAAAACGCAAATTAAACAAAAAAACTACTTAGTACAAACATTTCGATAATAGACATTTGAATGCCTACGAGGATAATAAAGAAATTAAAACTGTGGGTCACATGTTTCATTTCTTAATGCCTTTTGGTACAAAAGATAAATTATAGGTATGTTTTTCATAAAATGTCGATGTAATAGTCTGCTCGATAATCTAATAATCCAGTGGCGTAACAAAATTAAGTCGAGACAGTATACTTTTATGAAAATATATTCGTGTCTACCTTTTGTAAGATTAAGCACTATTAGTTTATTAAACAAAATTAAGCTACTTGAAACGTAATTATTACAAATCATGTGTTGACAAATAATGATGATATGAGAAAGGATCTCTGCTAAATTACTGATCTACTATCAATGAGTTTGACGACGCCTCAAAATGGTACCGCAATCATCATCGAATTTAGTTTTATAATGACACAAACAATCCTGTTTTTTTTTTGCAAATCAATTTCAACAAGTTTTAAGGTGTATTACCTTGCAATAAAAAACAATCGATGATTCGACGAACTCTTATTTTAGATTGTCGAATAGTCGACGAAAATCATGTAAAGTTGGTTGATTATACATTTACATTAAGATCATATGTTTCTAACCAATTACGTTTTCTTATACAATACACTTCTGTGTACAACTACAGAAACGGTTTGTTTTTAATTATTTTACTCAATCATAATAGCCACAAAGAATGCTTGGAGTAAATTCAATAGCTGAAACAATGTGTATGCAAGTTTCATTTGCTGATATAGGCTCTCTGAAAAATTAGAATGCCAGGAAAACAAGTCTCTGTGTTTAATCGAAAACATTTTTCTACACAACGTCGTCGTATAGAATAAACTTATCTAAACAAAATGAGATGTCTCTAAATTACTCATGACATTCTTATATTAAACTGCATTAATTATACGGTGGGACCAAATCATATCTATAATTTAATAGGACTGCATACGAGTCTAGTTAATAATTAAGGCAATATTTAAATACTAAATATATTGTTACGAGATAAATATTGTACTTTAGAGACCATATTTATCAAATCGTAACATTTTGAAATCTCATTTTTGACAGATTCTACTTGAAACATAATTTTAGTTCATGCGTTAAGCCTTCTGGGGCTTATTTTGTTTAAAAAAAAATTCTCTTTTACCATAATTGCGTGTTTCAACTTTTTTTTTGTGTTTTTATCTATCGTGTCTGAGATAAATTATTTTAAGTAGATATTTTAATAGGAAAGAATTAACCAACACATTTATTATTTTTTTCACCATAAATATTAGTGTTCAGTTGAAAATGGCACTGGCGTATGTAGGCAATAAAATCGTTAACCTTTGGAAGAAAATAAAAGAAGTACAACAGCGGTGATATGAAAGAACGTTTTTCGTTGATGTAAAAATCTGTAAACAACATTCACTTGATCTGCACTATAAAATTGAATTGCACTGAACGAAAGGATTTGTCTAATGCCACCTGTAATGTTCAACACACCGGTAAGTTGGTTTCAATTCAGTCACATTGCTTCCCAGCGAGCTCAAATTTTTACCGCGATACGTCAGACTTTATTTTAGATTCTAAATTATTTTAAAATGTTTTCAACTTTAACTTTTGATATGAGATTTTTAAAAACGAAAAATATCATTTTTTTACAAAGGATTTCGACATTTTTCAAGAAGGAAAGCTTTTTTTCGAATAAATTTAGTATCTGAGGTAAAACCTAAAGTATCTGTGATAAACTGAACTCAATCGGATCATTTTTTCGAAGGAACGACATATGACTGGCTGAAAATGGGAATTTCTAAAAAAAACAGTGGAACAACATGTTAGAAAAATCTAGGTAAACATACATCAGTTCTCTTTTTTCGATGTTTTATTTCAAGTAAAAATTTAGACTCAATCAGACCTTTATCTTGATCTTTGCTAACATAGTGAAAATGCGGGATGGTGGATTCCTTAAATAACTACAGTCAAATTAGAATAAAGTGTCGAATTAGAATTGAAAACAGATTTGTCTGACTTGTGGCTTTATTATGGCTACGTCTAAAAAGAGATACAAATCCATATTTTAGAATGTATCTGTTTTAATCTATTAAAAAGTATCTCTTTTGAGAAACGACTATTTTGACAAGAAATTCATACAAAATCCATGATAGTTTTTTGAAGAGTGAGATAACATTACTTTGACCACTCTCTAAAAAATAAAGGTATTATAAAATACGAAAAATGGTATAACCATTTGAACCATATCATAACTGTTTAAACGTTTTTTACTTTTATCAGAAAACCCCTTTGGGATTTTTAGAATATGAAAAAGCCGTAATTTAAAAAATCCTGAATTGATTTGGTATTTTAAAATACCTGAAAGGTTTTTTTGTGACATGAAGAAACCTCAACCGTTTTTCAGAATATAATTTAGCCGTGTTTTAGAAAACGAAAATTAGTTATTTGATAAGAATAAGAAACTTTTAAACAGTTATGATATGTTTCAAATGGTTATACCCTTTAAACGTTTTTCACGTGTGGTTATACCTTTTTTTTGGTTTTTCTCAAATGGAGAATACTTTTTAAGGT